TTTAAAATAGATTTAAATGGAAATGAACAATTTTCAAAGGGTAAGTTTCCTCACAATTTTGTATCTGTAAACTATAAAAAGTTGGTATGTACTGGAGGCATATTTCGTTTCCTTTACTTCACTGTCCCAGCCGAAATAGCATATATTCAGCTGAAATATAATAAAAATAGTGCTAAATTTTGACTCTTAAATATCTAGATTCGGATCCAGTCTTGGCTGCCACTTAGGAGTTCGTGTGACTTTTCGCGAGCTGCCAGCCTGTTTCCTCAACCGTAAAATGGGCTGAACACTACACTCCCGCCAGGTACTGCTTAAGACATTCTAAAAGGTAGCAGATGCGAGCGCTCTGCCCCCAGACGGGGCCTGGTGCTGTCACGTGCTGGGCTCTTCCCTGGCTTACCTGGTGCCCAAAAGTAGGTCTTGAGGTATACGTTACTTGCACCTCTCTGAACCAGGCTGTCTGCAGCCATGTGCCTTCTGTGGGTGTTGGCACGCTTTTTGATCTGACATTTAAACAGTAGCGTCCTAGAGTGTGTGCAGGGAACTTGCCTCCTGCAGAAGGGGAGCGACCCAAATCCTGTGATGAAGCAAAGGAAAGAAGGACACGAGCTTCCTTCTGAAAGGGTTTTGTTTATGAAACTCCTCGTGGCATTTTTACTTTTTCCACGAAAAACTCTTTGTCCTTTTGTCTTCTGCCACTGGCCCCGGTTATGGACGGGGCGTCGATGTGAACACAGTTTCCAAATTGGAAATTAATGAGGTGTTTCATCCAGAGCAACCTTCCTCCCGCACTCTCAGGCATGCTGCCCTGGGAACCCCACCCCCACCCCCTTGTGGGTCTTTGCCCTCCTGCTGCCCTTGTCTACACGGCAGCGATGGGCACCCTTGCTTCTCTGCTACCTCCCCAGTGCTTTCCTGGCTTAAGAATTTTTTAAATCTGTGTATCAGGTATGATTCCCACAGTCTCTGGATCGTGTCCAAGCAGGATGGGTTCTGCTTGCCTGAGGCCACTGTCACTGGGCCAGAAAGTTCTTGATGGCTCTTCAGAGCTTGCGCTTCAGCCCTTTGTATATTCAGAAAGGAGGCTGGTGCACATTTCCTGGGATGCGGGGATGAAGGGGTGGGGGTGCTCAAGTAAGGTGAGAGCACTCCAGGAAAGTTCTCGTCAGCGCCCTAGGCTTGGCCTTGGTGGGGCTCGCGTGTGCTGGTAGGAAGGCTGCCTATCACCGGCGGATAAGGATCGATCTGAGGAGCAAAGGTGCCCATCAGGGGAAAGGTGGCGCACACTGAGATAATGCGGCTGGTGTGTGTGGTTCTCGAGCTTTGGTGAGGAGTGGTAGACTTGTGATTTTGCCAAGTCACAGATAATAAATTTTAAGAACTCTTGCGGATGAAAAGCGGCCTCTAGTCAGCGCTCAGCACTTTCATCAGAGGGTTCTGAGGGAGAAGCAAAGCTCTGTTTAGAGCGAGGACATAATGGGCTTGGGGTTGGCAGGGTGTCTCAGACCCTTGTGGAACTTACTGCAAAGTTTTGTACGTAAATATTTCAAAGGAGAGGACCCGGAGCTTTCATTAGATTTTTAAAGCAGTTCTTGGGGCGCCTGGGTGGCTCAGTCGGTTGAGCGTCCGACTTCAGCTCAGGTCATGATCTCACAGCTCATGAGTTCAAGCCCCACGTCGGGTTCTATGCTGACAGCTTTGGAGCCTGGCGCCTGCTTCTGATTCCGTCTCCCTCTCTCTCTGCCCCTAACCCACTGGCATTCTGTCTCTGTCTCTCTCAAAAATAAAAAGCATTTAAAAAAAAAAAATTAAAGCCGTTCTTGACCCACCAGTTTACATGAAAATAGACACCCAGTCAGGGTGGTTTGAGTCCCCGTGACCTGTGTGTGGTAGTCACCCATATGAGCACACTGTGGTTTCCTGTGTCCTCTAGGAAAAAGGGACCCAGACCCCAGAAGGCCAGATGTCCTATGACTTGAATGCCTGAGCGATTGTAAGGTGTGTGAAAGAGAGGTGTGGAATGGAATGGAAGGGAAAGTTTCCCCAAATGTGCAAAAGACAGACTGTCAAACAAAATGTTGACACATAGAACGAGGAGGATTGACTGGGTTTGGAGTGAAATGGAGAAAAGGAAACAAGCTGAATCTCCAGGGGAAATCTTTGTGACCACAAGAATGACTAGGTCACGGCCCTGCCATTCTAGAGGAGGCTGGAGCAACTCCATTAATGGGGAATTTTCAGGAAATGTGGATGTAATAGAAGGACAAGCATGGGCTGACCTTGAAAGGGGCTCTTCTGGAGACCTGCACACACTCCTTCCCCACCGGGACTGTTGGACGATACCTGGCATTGGCTCTTTCTTTTCTCTTGCATTAGGCACACTCAGGACACCTCCTGAGGGCCAAGTTCAGGGCCTACTTGCTGCAGCAGAAGAGCCATGAGCACAGTATTTGTTTCACTTACATTTTTGGTTAGGAGTGGTTCTCAGAATAATCCAGAAAGTGTAGTTTGAGGATTTTTTTTTTTTTTAAGAAAATTAAAGTCTGATATTACAGGTCCAAGATTCTATAATAAGGCTCTTTGCACTGAGTCAAAGGAAAATGAGAATAGTTGCTGTCATTCTCTTCCTGTGCTTCTTGGCTGCCATTTTAAGAGTGTTGGTTCTTCCTTCGGGGGAGGGTTAGGGTATCAGAGGGGTCTCTCTAGCCTTCCAGGGTAGTACCTGTGCTCCACAGAGGCTTTGTGGTGTGTACAGCCCCCCTGGGATAGGCTCTCTCCTTTCCCCCTGGGAACACCTGTGGATCCTTCAAGTGGCCTTTTTTCAGGAAGCGTATCTCTGAGGTTGTGAACAGAGTGGTTTGGCTGATGAAAAGGAAGGCAGAGGGGATGTTTGCAAGCCCAGGCTGAGAGCTTCCGCTACTGATTGGAGCTCCCGTTTCCCAAGCCCCCTCTGCCTCTCAGTACACCTGGCCTTTCCTTGCTCGTGAATCCATTCCCCACAGTATCTATCTCAGAGCTTTTCTGCTTCCTTCATGCCCCTGAGCAGCTCCCCCCAACCCTCCCTCATCCTTGGCTAGCTGATGTGAATGCTGTCACTTCCCCACTTCTTCCCCCCAGATTTGCCTCCCTCACCTCCCCTTTCCTTCCTGCCTCCTCTCCAGGCCACTCTTCCTCTCTCAGCGATGGGTTGCCTCCACTCGGCCCGGGATCCGTTCCTTTTGTACCGGCTTCTTCCCCTCGCCCCATAAACACAGCCTAGTCCTCATCCTGCCAGCCTCCTGGAAGCCGTCATCCACTTGCATTGCCTCCACCACAGCTGTGCTCCTGTCCTTAACCCAAAGCTTCCCGAAGCTTCTTCACCTCATGACACACAGAGGAGATGTTGCTGTTTGAATGGCACAAGGGCCGTGGGCACCAGGCTGCTGGAAAGCGGGCTCTGGCTGCCCTGAGGGTGGTTCCTCCCCGACAGCTTTGCGGTTCCACTCTGCCCCCCACCCCACCCCATACCTTTCCCCCCGAAAAGCCTTCCTAAAGATCACTGGTAAGCAAATACTAAACACAAAGACATTTTCTTTGTTTTCATCTTCCTTAACATCCAAGTGGCATTTGACACTCGCTGGTGGTTAAGAGCTCACACTCTGGCGGTGCTGCTGTGGCTCAGTTCCTGGCTGGGCCTTTTCCAGCTTATGACCTCGAAAGGTTACTTAATGTGCCTGTGCCTCGGTGTCATTCTGCAAATGAGGATAATAAAACCTACATCATGGGGTCGCCGTGTGAGTTAAATGGCTTCTCTGGGGGAAGCGTCTTGTCTCGCTGTAAGTGCTATATAAGTGTCTGTTGGGGTTTTTGAGTACCTCTTTGCTAAAGCCCCTTTCTTCTAACATCGGACCCTCCTGATTTTTTTCCTATGTCTTTGAGCTCTCTTGCTTTTTGTTTTCATTCTCCACATTGTCTTTTTCCCCCCAGAAATGGAGAAGGTAGTACAGAATGCAGCCTTGACTCTCATTTGCCCTTTCTTTCTTGAACCTTCCCACCAACGCCGCCAGCTCCCCACCTGTAGACCAGTCATCTCCCCAGGCCCCAGACCCACACCCCGACTGCCTGCTACATTGCCCACCGTCTGGATCTCCTCCCTGCACCTCAGACTCCCAAAAATAGTTGAACGTTTCTTTTATTTTTATTTTAAAAGCAATAAATGGCTCATCGTAGAGAACACAAGCAAATTTAAAGGATACGATACAAGCCAACGGTAATCCCACTGCAACAAGCACCAGCACTAAACTTGGGCGTGTCTTTGAGCTCAGTGGGTCTCAGCCCGGGCCGAGTCTCCCCAGGGCATCGAAGTTTGGCAATGTCTGGAGATATTTGTGGTTGTCAGCTTTGGGTTGCAGGAGGGGCTACTGGCATCTATCAGATAGAGTCCGAGGATATCACCAGACATTCTACAGTGTACGGGATAGGCCCCCACAACAAAGAATTGGTCCACTCAGTAGTGCTGAGGTTGAGAAACCCCATTCTGGACTTTGTCTTGACATAAATGCTCCAAATAGAGTAAGTTGGAATTACTTTTTTCTTTCTACCTCCACCCTGCTTGTCCACCTCTGTTCTCATCTGTCACATATTTGGCATCTACCCCCAGGCCTTCTCCCCCATCCAGTTTTGGTATTGATGACCACTCACCCTAACTAAGGAAGGGGCACTCCAGCAGGCCCTCCACCTTGAGTCCCCTCCTGCTTGGCCTGGTCTGGCCACCCATGTGCTTGCAGACCTTCTGTTGGCCTCCGCTGCCTGTCCACTGTCCACGCCTCAGAGTCTGAGCTCCCCGCGGGCAGGAGCTTCCACACTGATCGACCTTCATGCCTAGCTGGAACCTAATGCCATCCTGAGCACCGAGTCGGTGCTTGGCAAAGCTCTGTAGAATGTGTTTGGATGAATGGTTGCATGAAAGAAGAACCTGAAATAAATCCTCCTCATGATTCCCTCACAATCTGTCTTTGCAGATCCTTGGTGAATGGTTTGGTCGGACCATCATTCGCTCCTGCACCAAGCTGAGCTACGAGCACGCACAGAGCATGATTGAAAGCCCGACTAAGAAAATCCCTGAGAAGGAGCTGCCCCCCATCTCCCCGGAGCACACCAGCGAGGAGGTGCACCAGGCCATCTTGAATCTCCACGGAATTGCAAAGGAGTTACGCAAACAGCGGTTTGTGGACGGCGCGCTGCGTTTGGATCAAGTCAGTCACTTTTTTTTTTTTTTTCTTTCGGTGCAACCAACAGATTTGACTTGTGCTTGAGCCCAGTGTGCGTAAGATTCAGCATGGCAGTCTTGGGATCTTCCCTCCTTTTTCCCCAGTCACAGCCCTAAAACGTTGTTCTCTGAGGCAGGCAGGAACTAACTCTCACCCACTCTCCAAACTCCACAGACACACGAGGCCCACTGACATGAGCTAAGGCAAAAGGGTCGTGTCTGTGTGGGTGGCCCTGTGACCAGAACTCCCAGCTGGTCCTTCCTGGTAGGCCTGTAGCCCGTATTTGAGCCTTACCTCAATTCCTACCTCAAATCCCTCTGAATGGAGGTGAGAACAGGAAACATGGAAGTTTAGAAGGTAGTTGACCAGTATCGGATCATGAGGCTTAGAAAAAAAGGCATTTCTTCTTATCCCTTGTCTTCCAAAAAGAGTTCTATGTTTATAATTCTGGATTCGTATTTGATTTTTTTTTTTTTAACGTTTATTTATTTTTGAGACAGAGAGAGACAGAGCATGAATGGGGGAGGGTCAGAGAGAGAGGGAGACACAGAATCTGAAACAGGCTCCAGGCTCTGAGCGGTCAGCACAGAGCCCGACGCGGGGCTCGAACTCACGGAGTGTGAGATCGTGACCTGAGCCGAAGTCGGCCGCCCAACCAACTGAGCCACCCAGGTGCCCCCTGGATTCGTATTTGAAGAAGCAGAGAGCTGAGGAGACTGTGGAACGTTGACCGCTGGAGAAAGTGACGGCCCAGAATGGTATGATTGCTCTTTGAGTACCACAGCCATGCCGGTGGCCCTCCAGGACTTCGGCAGCTGTCACTCAAACCTGGTCACATTTCCAAGTCCGTTTCCACGCGCAGCAACTCTTAAGACTTGGGAATTCTTTCCTCAATAGTTGTCGGTACATTATAGAGTCGAGTCCGTGTTCCGTGTATCGTGCGATTTTTTTTCTTATATTTCTTACCCAAACCCCCAAGAACTGCCCACCTTGCCTGGTCACTGTGCTTGGGAAGTTTCTGGGTGTATGAAAAAAGAGTTGAGCCTTAGGATTGGCTGATGGAGAGGACTGGCAAGAGCGCAGCCTCACAGAGACGTCTTTCTCTGCGTGTCCCAGCTTAGAGAGATCTCAAAAGCCTTTCTAATTGAAGGCTCCATTTCATCCTACCCTTTGTGATAAGCATCACTAATGCTTCTCAGCGGGCATTACGAAGAGTTGCTGCCCTGGGCCTAGGATTAAGTTAGCAGCGTTTGGGGCAAGCGGATAGTCTGTTGTGCCCGAGCTTGAGGGACCTTCCGGAGCTCTCATGCTCCCCCTCCCCAACCTGGGCTCAGGCAGCATGAGTAGACCTGTCTGTTCACAAATGCTGATGGGCAGACCGTAGTCGGAGTGGCCGCCAAAACAGACTGCAAAGCCAGTAGAAGAGGCACCAGAGGCACAGGAGATGACAGAATATCTCTTTCCTTTCGTTCAGTGAAATTCTTTGTGGGGGTGTGAACACACCCCAGTTCTCACTCACCAGTGGCTGCCTGGTTGTCAAATCCAAGGATGCTTTTCAGTTCTTGCTTCCTAGACTTCTGTTCTGCATTTGGCCCTTTGAAGCTCACCTCCTGGTTCTCTGCTCCCCTTTGTACATCTCCGTTAGTGTCCTGCTGGTTGCTTTGCGGAAGCCTCTTCCTCTCCTGTCCCCTACAGGGTTCACATTCCCTAGGATGTACCTCACCCTCTGTTTTTTCTCTGTCCACACTCCCTTCCTGAATGAATGCTCTACTCTTATGATTCTAACTATTGACTGGTTGCTGATGATGCCAAAATCCGTCTCTCTGGCCCTGCCCTCCTTCCCAAGCTCTAGACAGGCTTCTCCACCTGCCTCTCCACCTGCCTTCTTGAACTTTTCACCTGGATGTCCCGTGGTCACATCTGCCAGTGTGCCTCATTTCTTCTGCAGGACCCAGTGATCAGTACCCACGGCATGCTGCGCGGGCTGGCTAACGCTCCCTCCTTCCTCTGTGCCCCACCCCTTCCAGGGCCCTCGTGTGTTTCAGGAGTATTCCTAATTACTCCCAAACCTGACTGTGCCGGGTTTGTGTGTGTTGCTGTAATTATGCAGTCTAACTGACCAAATAAGAGCATAAAAAAAAGCTTTTGTTTCTGAGAACTAAAATTGTTTGAAAAGATTCAATGAGGATAAATCTTTAAAAACTCTGCTGTTTGGGTATGACAACTATAAAAGAGTAGGGGGTTGGGGCCCCTGGGTGACTCAGTCGGTTAAGTGTCCGACTTCAGCTCTGGTCGTGATCTCGCGGTTCGTGAGTTCAAGCCCCATGTCAAGCTCTGTGCTGACAGCTCAGAGCCTGGAGCCTGCTTCCGATTCTGTGTCTCCCTCTCTCGCTGTCCCTCCCCTGCTCACGCTCTCTCTCTCTCTCTCAAAAATAAAAACGTTAAAAAAAATTTTATAAAAGAATAGGGGGAAAAATCATAAAATTCAGGAAGAATTCTGTACTCAGATGGCTTTACAGAAGTCTAAGTTCTCCCTCTCTTTTAAAGAAACAAAAACTATAAATTATAGACGATGAATTATGAGTGTAATTTATTCAGAAAAAATACATAGATATCTAATCGGCATCCTCTTTTAAAGGGCTCTGTAGGGGCGCCTGGGTGGCTCGGTCGGTTGAGCGTCCGACTTCAGCTCAGGTCACGATCTCGCGGTCCGTGAGTTCGAGCCCCGCGTCGGGCTCTGGGCTGATGGCTCGGAGCCTGGAGCCTGCTTCTGATTCTGTGTCTCCCTCTCTCTCTGCCCCTCCCCTATTCATGCTCTGTCTCTCTCTCTCTGTCTCAAAAATAAATAAACGTTAAAAAAAATTTTTTTTTAATTAAAAAATAAAGGGCTCTGTATTTTTAAAAAACGAGTGAATGCATATCTATATAAATTAAGTTAAAACAAGGGGGCGCCTGGCCGGCTCAGTTGCTAGAGCGTGCAACTCTTGATCACAGAGTCCTGAGTTCAAGCCCCCTGTTGGGCATGGAGCCTATTTAAAAATACCTTTTTTAGTTAAAAACAAGAATAAATTCAGTTGGAATAAGTGTTTAGTTATACATAGATAGATAGATAGATAGATAGATAGATAGATAATCTTCTGTATGATTCCCATCTTTAGCCAGCTCCTAGAATAACTTCCCAACTACTGCCTCAAGCACATCAAATGAGAGGGTTTCTGTTACAACATTTTAGAGATCTTACCCTATCAGATTGTTACAAAGTTTGATTGGATTAAGTATATGAAATACTCTATAACTATGAAAATATAAAGGATCAGTTAGGCGATCTCAGCTCACATTGGGATCCTAGGGGTGTGGTAGTCAAGGTAGAAGAATGATCACAGATTACTGATTGATACTGACTGATCTGTTGGCATATCTTAGAATCAGAATTTTATTGCTGAAAATAACCTTAGACATCTGCATCTCATTGGCCCTCACAGTTTGTAAATTAGAAAGCTGATGCCCCCTCAAAGGTTATATGCAAGTTGCTTATATGCAAGCTGACACGTCTTTGTTCCGTTTTCCTCCACTTAAACCATGCTGACTTAAGAGAGAAAAGCTTTCCTTCAAAGTAAGAAAAGAAAAAAAAAAACCCTCAAAAGTCCTAATTAGGTTCCAGTTAATTAAGGTTTGAAAATAATGGATGTACATCCTTGGAGTTGATTCCTTGGTTCCCCAGAAAACAAGTTGTGTGGACCACAGCTTTAGAAGGAGGAGCACATCAATCTCCCTCAGCAAGGGACACTGGCGAGATCCTTTATAAATCAGCTAAATGGCCCTATTCAGAAGTCACCGCATTTGTTCTCCGGTGCCTGCTGCCTGCATTTGCCCTCGCGAAAACCCATTTTTCCTCAGTGCTTTTGGCGTGGCCTGCTGCTTGGAGTTTCTCTCTGATGCTTTGCTTGCCTCGTTTTACCATGTCCACATTTTTGGTGGCAGTCCTAAAAAAATACGCCCTTTTGCACCAGCCTCAATGAGAGAGGCTCTGCGAGCGGGTCTGCCGTCGTGTCACACAGAATGCCCTCGAATGCAGAATAAATCTGCTAAAGCAGAAGTTACACCTTTGTAAGAAATCAGTTCATCGTGATGACCTTCCGAACAAGTGAGGTGGAGGGTACTCGGGTAGCGCCTGTTTGTCCGTCAGGGACAGACTGGTTCGGAGGCTGTGAGAGCCACAGCAGCGCAGGACTGCTTGAGCACTGGGTGCCTGCAGTCAGCCGCTCGGGCCGGAGCTGCCTCACCCACACCTGAGACAGTCTGGGCTGGCGCCAGCTCCCAGAGAACCACCCGCTAAAGTCTTGTCTGCTTCCCCGAGTATGCTGTCAAATGTTAGCAAGCTCTGTACGTGCTGTGGTGTGCAACAGATTGGGAAGCACTGCCTTAGAGGTCGGATTACTTGCCTCAAATGTCTCTTTTACCTAGAGCTCGAACCTGGTTCTAAAGAGGTTCTAGCTCAGTGAAGTGACATTCCTGTGTTTTCACTGCCCCAAAAGCAAATGCAGGTGCCAGATGCATTTTTTTTTTTTGCTTTTTGGTTGGAGGAGTTGAAGAGTATCCCTTCCAGGTGGTTTCTTCCCATCTTCATGCTTTCTGTGGTCATGTTCATTCTAGACTTTAACACCGATTCTCGTTTTATTTATGATCACATACGTCACTCCTCTGTTTCTTAAAAGGGGGCCCCAGTGTTTTTGTGTTTATCAGAAAAGTAACCGTTATGGTTGGTCATCATATGCAAACCTTGAATTTTGAGGAAGGGGAACCGTGAGAAGCTCTCCCTCCTTGTTCTGGTTTTTGCTCTGTGACTCGGGCCTGTCCGACAGGCCTCGAGAGTGTGCAGAGCTCTGGTACTTCTGTTTGTGCCGACACGAAGCGTGCTCCCAGCCAGCCTCCTCGCCAGAGAGGCAGATGACTCTGCCCATGACGTGACAAGGCTTCGGGCTCCTTTTCGAGTCTGTGCCTTAGCGTTGGCCTTAAAGAAAGGATAGCAAGGGAGGGTAGCAGAGTGGTAAATAGAACTGTCAAAAACGTCTTGGGGAGTATTGATCATTTTCAGGAAACTATACCAACACTTTTCTGGGGCTTTCCCTCCAGCCTAACATTCCTCAGGCAGGACGTGGCACTTCAGAGAGAGCCCACTCTGTGCCGGCTTCTTTGAGAAACCAGCAGGATGGCCTGCAAGAAACTGGGCCACCTCCAGCAGGTGGACAGGGATGTGAATGGCTCCTAGTGAGCCATTGACTTTCTGAATTTAGAGAAAGTTGTGGTGAAGAAAAGCTTATATTTCCATCTTAGGCGATTCCTCCAGCCCAAAGGAGCCTTTACTAAGTTCTCAGCTACATCTTATAGGACTCCCTCCTGGCATGATTTTGAAGCCCAAACATCAGGCAGTATCTTTGAGTGGACTTGATTATAAAGATAAACTTGTTGGTAAAATAAGTTTTGAATACTGTGGGACCCAAGCTGCTGTGGCATGCTATTCTGGATGTCCTTGGCCTAGCCCAGCCATTAAGTTGGGGGTCGGCAGACTTTCTGTAAAGGGCCAAATAGTCACTATTTTAGGCTTTGTGGACTGTTGCAGTGTGAGAGGAGCCGCAGACAGACACGTGAGTGGGGCCGTGTGCCGATAAAACTTTAAGGACGCTGGAATTTGAATGTCACAGAATTTTCACGTCACAAAATAGTATCCTTCCTTTGATGATTTTCCAATCATTTAAAAATGTAAAAACCCCATTTAGTTCATGAGCCGTTCGAGAGCAGGTAGAAGGCTGGGTTTGGCCCGTGGTCCGCAGCTTGCTGACCCCTGCTTACGTGAAACTCAGCTCCGCCAACCCATGCAGCGCATCCTCGCCGCACAGGGAATCTGGGCTGGGTAATGGAGAACGTTGTGCTAAGTTAGCTCTCGGGGTGGTTTCATGCAATTAAGGAAATTGTTCCTTTGATTAGTACCATGTGTAGCAGGTCCAATTGGAGGGCAGAAGTGGAGGAATGAATCAGTTTAGCACCAGTTCCCTTACCCTAGTTACAGTCAGGTAGCTTTAATTAGCCAGAAGCAAAAAGAGCAGTGGCTCTCACTTGCCACCTCTGCGTGCTTGCAACCTCTTCCCAGCGGGGGTCTCGTCCCCAGCCCACCTGCAGTGGTGCTGGCCCCTCCCTCTCATAGGGCGGGACTGCTCATGGCAAAACAGGGCTCTCCGGAGGGCTCTCCGGAAGCTGTGTGGCATGTCTGCCCCACCCCACCCCTGTTGCTGTATGTAGCAATACGTTTTGTTGAATCATACGTTTACAGTTATAGAGAGAATGTCTCTGTTCCTCCTCTCCAATACAGTTGTTTGCAAGAAATGAACATTCCAGCTCTCTACTGTTTAATTTTTGGGCAGTGTGATATTTGGTGCGAGGTGAAAAGGACGGGATATTCATCCTATCTGGCTCTTCCTTGGTCTTATTTACATCATCACTGAAACACAAGGGTAGGCTGTTGATCAGACGGTAGGACATGTTTGTAGATTGGTCTCTGTTGTCTTAGTCATAGAGTTCTTCCCTCGGCATGTGTTCCAAAAGCATTTATTGGGTACCTTGAATGTGTTAGTTGCTGGAGATGAAGGAATAAGGAATGAAGGAATGAGACACAAGTCCAGGTTCTTTTTTTTTTTTTTTTAATTTTTTTTTTCAACGTTTATTTATTTTTGGGACAGGGAGAGACAGAGCATGAACGGGGGAGGGTCAGAGAGAGAGGGAGACAGAGAATCGGAAACAGGCTCCAGGCTCTGAGCCATCAGCCCAGAGCCCGACGCGGGGCTCGAACTCACGGACCGCGAGATCGTGACCTGGCTGAAGTCGGATGCTTAACCGACTGCGCCACCCAGGCGCCCCAACAAGTCCAGGTTCTTAAGTTTACAGTGAGCTGAAGGAGCCAGCAGACCACCCAGAAAATTAAGAGTATGGTGAGACTACGTTGGAGAGGACCAGCACAGTCTCAGGGGATCAGGGAAGATTTGCCAGTGGAGACAGTGTGTACTCTAGGATTTTCAAAAGGTCGAGGGGCTAGCCAGGCCCCGAAGGCAAGAGAAGGCGGTCCAAGCAAACTGCTAGTGCAGGCATGCAAGGGGCAAGAGATGGCACATTTGGGCAATGGCACATTGTTCCAGGGTACATGGTGCTGGTGCAGAGGGGGGAGAGTAGCTAGGAGAGGAGGCAGAGGCTAGGCCTTGAAGACTGCAGGAGTGAGCTGGGGGAGCCATGGAAGATTTTAACCATGGAAGTGATGTGATCAGGACTATGTTTTGGAAAGAGCTGATGGCTGTGGGATGGAGAGTAGACCAGAAAAGAACAAAACAGAGAAAGCTCATAATCCATCAGAGAAATGACAAGGGCCTGACCTGAGAGAGAGGCCTAGGGGCAAGAGAAAATCACAGATCCAAGAGAGGAAGGAACATGGAGGCTTGACAAATGGACGATCTTGATTAGATGTGAGGGAGAATGGAGGAATCGGGTCTCTGGTTTGGGCACGTAGGTTATACAGTACAGTAGGTTGTATTGACCCGGGCACACCTGGATGGAAGAGTTGAAAAGCAAGATAATTACTTCTGTTTAGGATCTGTTGACCTAGGGTCTGTTGAAGGGTCCACTGGAGAGGGACAGGTAGAAATGTAAAGTGAGCATGTGGGCGTAGGGGTTCAGGGGTCAGCCGGGAAGGTTGGCCTAGAGGTAACCATTTGCTAGCCAGGAGCATCTAAACGGTCCGTAAGCTGTTTAGGAATGAGCTCTAGTGCGGAGGACTCTGGAATGAGGAGCCATGCAGCACTAGACAGGCAGGAGGGTGAGAAACACTTCCTTGTGCCCAGTTCTTAGGTAGTCTTCTCTGATCCCCTCTTTTCCCTAGAAAAGGAGGCTTTATAGCAGATTACAAAAGCATAAGTAAATTCCTTTGTCTATAAAAAAGTAAGTATATTCTCATGTTATAAAATTTAGAAAATATAACAGTGTGAAGAAATCAAAACTACCTATAAATCTATCACCCAGAAAGAGCCACTGCTAATATTTTGTCATATTATAGTTCCTTATGAATATCCTCCTTAACACTTCATGGCAAGAGGGAGGAGTGGTTAGCATAACATACATATAATTTTTATGTCATGCTTTTTAATATTATAGAATGAGTTTTTCTCATGCAATTCAAAATTCTTCTAAACCATTTTAGTGCCTATGTAATATTTCAACATATTAAATGCTCTGGAACACTTAACCATGCCTCAACTGTGGATATTTAGATTACAGTTTTACTATACAATAAATAATAATGCCATGAGCTACCTTGTGTTCATAAGTCTTTGCTCTGATCTCTGATTATTTCCTTAGGACAGTCCTAGAACTATGCTGATAGAGTCACAGGTACAGACATGTTTGAGACTCTTCAGGGGCGCCTGGGTGGCTCAATCGGTTAAGCATCTGACTCCGGATTTCAGCTCAGGTCATGACCTCGCGCCGTTCATGAGATTGATTCTCTCTCTCTCTCATGTGATTCTCTCTCCCCCTCTCTCTCTGCCCCTCCCCTGCTCGCTCGCTCTCCCTCTCTCTCAAAGTAAACAAACTTAAATAAAATAGAAAGAATCTTCAAACATTGCCACAGACCCTTCCAGAAAGGTTGTACCAACTTCTCCTCCTGCCAGTAGCCTATGAATACTGGCACCTGTTGTGGAACTGTCAGGAGTTCTCTGTCTACGAGGGGTGTATCTGTCTGTCTATCTCTGCCTCTCTTTCCCTCTCTCTCAAAGTTGTGTCTAGGTCTCCTGAAATATCCCGGTGGCTGTGATCTTGGGTTATTCCTTCATCTTTCCTGTTTTGTTGATTTTATTTTCATGAGGTCTTGCCTATATAGACTCTTCCTACGTGCATTAACCATTATAGAAAATACTCCTAAGAGTCCTAAAATCCAAAATGACCGAGAGAGGTGGTTGAAAGCATCTTGTTAACCCCTTGCTGAAGCCGCGACTGGAGAGCAGCCCCTCACCCCAACCAGGTCCATCTTTCTTCTCATTAGAATCAGTAAAGAAACCCATCCTCTTTGAAATGGTTCTGAGAATTATCGTTGCATGTTTAGATCCTCAGAGAATATTTGTAACTTCACTAGCTTTATTTGTGACTCTTACCTCCTGTGTATAATAGCTTTGAGTTGGCCTGAAGTGAATAATTATAAGGAAATCCAATTGAATTAAGACTACAGGGCAGAATGGCTCTATGTAATCTTTGCCACCATAAGAATTGCTACACTTCTCTCAACTCTTGGTTTCGGCTCAGGTCATGATCTCGAGGTTTATGAGTTCAAGCCCTACATCAGGCTCCACGCTGACAGCTGGGAACCTGCTTGGGATTCGCTGCCTCTCCTCTCTCTCTGCCCCCCCCCCCCCCCGCTTGCATACTCACTCTCTCTGTCTCTCTCTCTCTGTCTCTCTCTGTCTCTGTCTCTCTCTCTCTCAAAATAAATAAGTTTAAAAAAATTGCTATTGCTTCTTTTTAGGGTAGACATAAACAATACAGGAAGGTTTCTACTGGAAGGTCAGGCTTCTGTTTAAATGTTGACAGATGCACATTATTTCAGCCATGGAGACAGTTCTAGAATTAGCAAGGCTTAAAGAACATCGGCCTGTCAGTTTTTCCCCTGTTTTTCCCAGTTACCGCTTTCATACTAACTCTATTAGTGAAATTTTCATTTAAATGTATCTAACTCATTTATAAATAAGTCTATAGCTAAGAATCTGTGCTCCTTTGAGCGAATCAGCACCCAGGTCATCTGCATGGCCTCTGTGGAGGGGAGGAGAGCCACAGGGCAAAATGGGCTGCAGCCTCAGGCCTCGGGGAGACCTGGGAATACAGGGAGTCCTGTGAGAGAAGGGGAGGGGTGAATCAGATGGCACTCTAATTCCACACAGAGTCTGGGAAAACAGTCCGTACTTATGCATCCCAACAAGACACAGACCCGAAGACTTGACCTAGTTGTGTAGACGTAACACTAATTACAGCCACTGTGGGAGCTGAACACTATCTGTGGCTTGTTAACATACACATAAAAACTCACACATATCATTAAGTGTCAGAGTGACTGTGCCGAGCAGCTTGTTATTACAACCCCAAACTCTTCATGTGCTCACCCTTCCTTTAGGCATGTCACATAGTCATTTACTCATAATTTTCAAAAATTAGAAGGAATATGGGTAGTATTATTCTGGAAGCTATTAAAAATACAGACTCAGACATGATCTCGGACCCTCACCAGGCAGATATTTCTTAAGTTCCTGTTGTGTTACAAGTACCACTCACAGCTCTATAAAGGAGCCTTAGACAGTGGAAGACGAACTTCCTACCTTCAGGTTGCACAGTGAACTTGAGAACTCTGTGTACTTACAAGAAACCCCAATAAGATAAAAGCAAGGGCATAGTCCGCTGTCACGGGGCAGAAGGAATAGGTTATTAGGTAGGGTGGGATTCGTAAAAGAAGGCTAGCTTGGGAAGGGAAGCCCCGACTCACTTGGTGGTGAAGGGCGGGGAAGGGCATAGCTGGCGAGGAGATGCTGAACGGCATGGAATGCCCACCCTGTTAAGACTTCATGGGATACACCCCATCGCGCTGCTCTCTCCTCTGCGTTCTTTCCGAACCCACTGAGAAATAGACACACAAGTCAGACTGAGGTCAAAATAATCCAGTACTGATAAAGTTTGCACGAGAGAAGGCAGCTTGAGCAGGTTCAAGCATTTGCAATAACCCAGAAACTAATGTTATGAAAAGAAACTCTGGTTGGAGTGATTAGAGGGAGCAGAAGGTAGCCAGAGACAGAAATGTGCTCCCTACCAGACCGGGTACCCCAGGGATGGTCCTAAGTGTGACCTTCACTACTCTCCAGTGCCCCTAGGACGTTCCCGGGCAGTGGCCGCTGCTATGGCCAGAACAGACCCTCAGCAGAACTCTGAGGACTGTGTTTTATGATTTTACCAAGTGAACTTGGCTCTTACCCTACTTCTAGAAGCTTTTCACTTGCCTGCTTCTTTCTGCTTGCCTCTGTCCAGGCTCATTTCTTCAAGAAGGGAAAAGCACACCCTACCCCCCTTAAACCTGTCTTAGTTTCGGGGAACCTGAAGACTGAACCTCCAATCCCGCTGCACTGGCCAGCCCATCCTTCCCTCCCACTTAGGGCTCCCCTAGCACTTTGTTTATAACTGTCACCTGTCTTGATCACATTGTCACACTGCTTTGTCATTTTCCATTTTCTTCCCTGTCTCCTTCTCTGAGACAGTGACTTCCTTAAGGATGGCGCCTTGTTCATCGTTGGATCTCCACCCCCTGCACAGTGCTTGTTTGTAACCAGGTGTTTCAAGGTCTCGAAGCATCTCTGTACTTACTGGTCTTTTTAAAAGATGATAGTGGTTGTGATCTTGGAGAGGGACTGTAGCTCTAGAAGAAAGCCGCGCTTATGTAAGAGAATTAAATGCACATTATAAATCAGAGGTTTCCTCCCCTTTTGCATAAAAGGGTTGGGTGTTTGATTCCTTGCCAAGGCATCCAGGATTTAGAAGAGGGTGTAATGAGGACTTTCTCAAGGTGGAGCTGCCTGGACAGGTGTGAAGAGGCAGGAAGCTTCAGCACCCCAGGGGGCTGGCAGTGCTTCTGAGGCATCCTGAGCACTTCCGTGTTCACCTCTGTGTCCCCAGACCAAGCTGTGCCCCTCAGGGAGCCTGGCAGAAGAGGCTCTCCAGGAGAAGGCAGAGACCCCCAGTGCGCTACCCTGCGAACAGAGATGTTCAGGCTTGTCGGAGAACTGGCTTGCCAGCATGGAATGGTGGGCAGGGCACCAGACCCCCCCACCTGCCTTTCGCAAGTTTCCATCTGGAGTGGGCTGATGTCAGCTGCTGTCCCCCACCCGCATGACAAGATGGGAATGGTTTGTATACCATGATGAGATCCCCAGTCTGTGCTTCCTCTGTGAGTTCCGATCAGAGCCTGGTTTTGCTGTTGATGGAAATGATTTGCACCAGACAGAGGTTCTGTGTTAGTTGCTGCTGGGCTGTCTGAGAAGAGTAGATACCTCACGTCACAGTTCAAATTGAGAGTGTTCCCAGATGACTCAGACTTAAGTCCCTAGCGTTTCCAGGGGGCAGAGAAGGGAGGCAAGGGGCTCTCACTCTGACAAGATGATGTATAAGAAACTTCTGGGGGTTGAGCAGGGGAGTGGCCAGCACCCCTTGTTCCTCTCTGAGATGCAAGCCTTTCAGGTTCCAGGCCTCTCTGTCTTTTGGGTAATTGTATTCATGATTAGGAAGGGCTTGGACTCTCCCTTTTCTGTTCACAGGGCATTCTGCACGTCCTCACCCTGCCCCCCGTCACACCCCACGTCACTCGAATGTGAGCCAAACGGCTACATAAGAGATGTGGAACCCTTTGACGTTAGTAAAACCTGCACTGGGGAAAGGGAACCCTGGCAGCTGATCCTGGGATTTTACCATGACCGTGTTCCGGGGCTGCCCCAATTGATTTTGGTTTCCATGGTTCAGTGAGCCAGGGGGCTCTGCTCCTTTTTGCTATCCTAAACTCCGCTGCCGGATTGAGTTCCCCCAAGGCTGCTTACACCTGTCACTCAAGGACCTACAGTCTCCTGAAGCAGATTTCATGGACCAGTCCTGTTTCCATAAATAATCCAGGACAAGATAGAAGATTGCTAGGTTTGAATTTTGCCAAACAAGGATATTGTCTTAAAAAGCTCGTTACCATCTGGGGCGCCTGGGTGGCTCAGCTGGTTAGGCAGCCAGCTCTTTATTTCAGCTCAGGTCACGATCTCACGGTTCGTGAGTTCGAGCCCCACATTGGGCTCTGTGCTCACCGTGCGGAACCTGCCTTGGATCCTCTGTCTCCCTCTTTCTGGCCATCCCTCTCTCTCTCTTTCAAAAATAAATAAATGTTAAAAAAAAAAATTTAAATAAGCTAGTTACCATCTATTGTCATAATTTTATAAATGAAAACGTTTTAGCACCGAAATGAAGGAAAGGCATGTTTTACAATATGAAGCAGTCCTTTACATTGACTTGGTTGAGCTTTGTGGAAAACCTTTCTTTTTGTTAACCGCAGACCAGCCTTTGAGGACAACTGGGTTGCACCATCAGCTCCAATGCCTCCTGGCTTTGGAGACCATCTGTGACGGCCTGTGTTTGGTGGGCCCTGAGTCCCACCAACCTGCCTTCCTGACTCAGCCGTCCTGCTTTCACACAGCCTGGGCCTCCACCTGTCACCCCCATCCCACACACCTCCCTTCCTCCAGAAGCCTCT